TCGCTGACAATATAATGTGTTAAAAGATAAAATCAATACCGTAATAAACGAGTTCACAACGAATGTTCTCTATATCAATCTAACAAGAACTCATATGTTTTGGATATAAATCAATGACATTGCTGCTAGCGGACTAAAGTCGTACTTTAGCGGCAATGTTAAGCCTAGTGGACATTGGTTGGCAATGTCAATTTTAGAGTTGACGAGTTGTTCACTTCAACTGTGAGTGCCCTTGTGTAAAATGAATGGCAACCTTAATCATCTATAGACACAAAACTGGCTGCAAAAGTTACATAACAGAGAATGACCCTATATCTAGAGAAGCCAAAGCTATATCTGAGGTAACATATAATATCATCTAGTAAGATAATAGATGTTGCATTGAATATGCACATATGAGATATATTTCCATAAGAGCATGAAAAATCAGAGATGACATACATCACATCTTAGCATCATGCAATAAATTCTCATAAACCTACTCGCTGAGAACCAGAGAGCATGACATAATTGGATTTAATTATGTTTAGTATCATCAATAAAGTGTAGACAAAGTATCGACATAAAATTTTCAAAAAAATACAAAGACATGCTGAAGATGGGACTCATGGATGTGAAGTAGATTTGCAATTTCATGCTCTTCTATATAACGATTATTTCTTTGAAGTGTACTCCAAAAAAATTGGATCATTCTCCTCTCCATTTATCACATCTTTTTTCTCAAGGCATCCTCACCTTACTCCTTAGCACGTCCGCCAGCTCCTGCTTTCTTCTCGGCTTTCACTATGATGAGTTTTTATTAGGACTTTGTTGCACAAACGATACGAAGCATACATAACTTCCAAGATTCTGATTTACTAAAACCTTGACACAACACACCATACATGATAGGTATTTACTTGATGAGACCCCATCGTAATCTTAACTGCTTGATGGGATTCATCAAATTTGGTTTTATCCTATGGGACCCCATGGAGTATACACGTCATTCCTATTCTAGTATGACCAGATGGTGGAGTAATTCTATCGCAATGCAATGGAACTCTATCGCGACGTTAGACGTTCTGTCTCAACACAATGGAGCTCTGATTGTGAATTTGTGTTGCGATCATTTTTGAATTCGCTAGAATAGATTGTTGAGTGTGTGCAAGAACTCAGAATCTACACCCGAATTAGATGATCGTTGCTCTTATTTGCGAGCTTGAGAAACCACATCAAAATTCTTGTCGCTACAACTAACTTTGTGAAAGATAGTCACGCATTTCCGTCTTAGAATCAAACACTAGTCGTGATATATCGAGCAAGTCGAATCTGCAAATGTAGAACGAGAAGATGTGATAGAACATAAACACCAAAAGAATACTTAAAGTTTGATAATTGAGACCGCACACCACTGTAGTTTGTATCATATTTGTACAAGAACACTTATTAGAACTTTGTGACGATGTGAAGTGGGTGATGTCCCATCGACTTAATCAAATCATGATGGGTACCATCAAGCAGTTTAGGTTTCGATGGATCCCATCAAGTAAATAAACTCTGCTCATTGAGCTAATCAAGATTGACGATAAAATCTGATGATTGAGCTAGTCAAGATTGACGATAAAATCTGATGATTGAACTAATCAAGATTGATCGTAAACTCTGGTTATTGAGCTAGTCAAGATTGATGTAAACTCAATTTAGTTGATACGTTGATCAAAGTTGTTTCTTTGGAGAGTTTCAAGTTACAATGTATTACTATGCAGGTTGTGCATGGAAACACAAGTTGCGCATGGGGAGCATAGATAGAGTTTGCTAGCATGATATCTTCATTTATCTTTTTATATAATTCCTCTATTTTGTGATGGTTACGGCTTAGTTGTAAATAATTCTTGTGTAAAGATTATCCTTGTGTTAGGTTTTTTCTAGAAATTCTCGCTTAGTAATTTTATAGGTTATAAGGTTTTTGTTTACTCTATGTTAGCAAGTTTGTAGTTAACTCTTTATGTTATTACTCTATACTATTATGGCTACAGCTTAATTCTAGTTAATTCTTGTGTAGAGAGAGTCATGTGTTAACTTTCAATCTAAAAGTTCTTTAGGAGTAAAAATACAGGTTATAAACGTTAGTGTTTTCTTAACACGAGTTAAGTGAAAGATTGTTGAGTTAAACTCTACTTAATGAGTATACTCAAGTCTTAGCTAAAAATAACTAGTATGGTTGTTGGTGCTAGGGTATATATACCCTAGGATTTGTGTATTACCAACTCACTTTTCATTATACGCCCTAAGGCATAAGGTTACTCCGTGGACATAGACCTCATCAGGGAACCACGTTATGATTATGTGAACTCTGTTTGTCTATCTACATGTTTGTTTGTCATTGCGCATGTTTTGAACTAATACAATATTGTATCATAATTTATTAAATATAAAAGATTGACAAAATGATAAAATTTTGAACCTTTTTTTTAACATAATAATTCTAGTGCATTTCAATAAAAAATTTATTTCAAACAAATATATCTTACATATTTTAATCTACTTTGCAAATTATACTATTTAAATAGTATAATTTGCAAAAAAACAACTTATGTGTAGACATCAAAGTTTGCTTGTTGATGGTTGTAAATTTTCTTTCTTTATTATTATTTTTTTATGATGTCTTAATATTAAAAATTTTAATTTAAGCTTTTAAATACACTTATTATGTGATTGATGAGTATCTAAGATGCTTGGTTGTATTCTTACATTGAAAATTACATAGAATTAAGAACAAATCAAATTGAAATACAATTTTGAAAGTTTTTACTTCAAATATCAAATCATCATCATAGATAAATTTTTAGATGACAAAATGAAAATAATTTTTTGCAACAAAATAAAATTATTTGATAAATTATTTAAAAATTTTTATATAGTGCAATTCAATAATTCATGATGCATGATATATTTTTACATAGTTGCATGCATTTAAGATAAAAAATAAAATTCATCAAAATATTATAAAATTATTATAATAGTAAAATATATAAAATATTGAATAATCTTTAGCAGTAAATTTTGAAATGACAATAAAAAAAATAATAATTTTTTTCATCATTTAAGTCAATCATGCAAAAAATTATTATTACTTTCAATAAAAAATTAAAAAATACATTCTTTGTGCAATTCAAGTATGCATGATAATTAATTGTATGATAATTATTTTTATTTACTTGCATGTATTTTAACATAATAAAAATATAATTCATCAAAATATTATACAATGATTATTATTATAAAATATATCATAAAATAGGATCATAACATTTTGTAATGTCAAAAAGAATTATAAAATCAATTTCAACAAGTTAAATTTAAATGAAAATGTCTAAAGGATAGTTTCCTATAATTTATGTGTGATCAAATACTCATAAAATTATCATAAAATCGTTTCTATGCAAATGATATGCTAGCTTGAAATTATAAACACATGGCAATGATTATTATTATTTCTAAAACGTAATTCTAAAATAATTTTAAAATTATGGAATTTAATATTTTTTAAATAAAATTGATATAAATCTAAATTCATAATTTTACTCATATTTAAATATATAAATTTTACTATTTCATCATTGTTTATCTATCAAATTTTTTTTTATAATTTTATGAAATTTCGTAAAAAAATGATAATATTCATATTCCTGTTTCATAATTATTATTTTATTTTAGATTTCTATCATTTTTTTGTCAAATTTTTTTGGAATATATATATATATATATATATATATATATAAAGATGAAAAAGATATATATATGAATATAGATGATATAATTATTCTTCTGATGAAACTAATTAGCCAATTTATATATCAACATTGCAATATTATCAATCTCATTGATCATTTATTTTATTCAGCATTATTACTTAGTGGACTTCAGCTACATTTAGAATAGTGACGAAAGATTTGACATGAAACATTGAATTTGAAAAGTAAAATGTGGATGTACAGATTTTTTGATAAAAAATTACCCAAATTAGAATGAAATGAATATACATACTTTTTCTTAAATCTAAAAGAATTAGAAATCTGTTGGATAAAGATGACAATGAGTTCTGGAGTTTGATGAAGAATAAAAAGTATATAATTTGAATATTAAGATGCTCTTTTGGCAGATCAGTAGAATTTGATTGTTGTTGAATGCATATGCTAGAGTCAAGTAAGAAAGAAGAAAACTCATTCTTATGCCCAGAAATTATATCTAGAACACGATGGACCGACTTTAATTTAATGCACCAATGTTCATTGAATATATAAATTTATTTTGACACAAATGAGGTTCAAGTTATGTACACAATGTTTGCTTTGGGAGAGCCATATTACTATTGCACATTCCAAATTCTTTATACATGACACCGTGTAGAAAGTGATAAAACCCGTGCTTATCCCAGGGAGAAAACAGTAAATTTATAATTGCCTTTGTTGTTATTTTTTTCTAGTTATGTCGTATAACATAACATAGTTCTTAGAGTACATCATACTTCATCATTTTCATAGGACACCACACATGAGTTGGATTTTCTTCATCATAAAGTTTAGCCTATTTTAGTCCACTTGTATCCATAGCTTTACATATTGCGCTAGTTGGTGCGATCACATTGAACTAATACTATTCAAGAGTATTTATAATAACCACTAAGCACTAGACTTATAAACATATAATTGAGCATATATCCATTGTCATGCTATTTGATTCTAGCTCCATCTTACCTTTTTAGCTCCATCCATTTCCCAGTTGATGGGATCTATCCCAATTTGGTTCGTTGTTATGTTCGCTATTATTTCCGAATCTGAAGCGAACCGAAGAACAATGTAAGGCTCGTATTGCTACTTGTAGAGAGTAAACGAGCAGTGTATCCCTGATGGAACCCGAGGTTGACCCGGAGTCAACCCGGGGTTAGAAACTGAACCCTAAACCTAAATTCGTGGTGCTGGGGGTTATGAACTCTTGCAGAGCGCCGGCAAAATTCTTTCTCTCCCACGAAGCTGGCTCCCCGGAAGTGGCAGCAGCGGAGCTTCACAACTTTCTCGTAATTCCTCCCCCTGACGTGCAGCCGTTTGCCGCGACTGGAAAATTTACACCATGGTGCGTACCATTCCTGATTCATCTTTGTCTCCACGGTCACTATGTCAAGTTTCATCGATGTATGCTGTCAATGTCTAGATCATAGACGCTAGCTCTGGTTTTTAAATTCGACTGGGCTCGTTCACCCCTCCCAGGACCTCGAAGAATGGATTTTATCAGTCCCAGGTTGTTTAATCATCGTGTGGAAGTTCCACGAAGAATGCTCATTCGATTACTCTTTACACCGGGATTGATCCCACTTCCAGGAGTAGTGCAGTGGCTTGATTTACGCGTGAAATTGATTGATCAGTACTGGAATTGCGTATCCAAAACTGTGAAAGTCTTGATCTTCTAAACTGCGTCAGAATGATCCCGAAACTTGACTCAGCGTTTTAACCTGGACCTACTGCATTTCAGTCGCTCATTGCCGGTGAGGAGTTCCAACACATTCTTCGTGTTTTGAACACGAATGTCGATGGCAGGCAAAAGATCATGTTTGCTCTAACCTCCATCAAGGGAGTTGGGCGTCGATTCGCCAATCTAGTCTGCAAGAAGGCTGATGTCGACATGAGCAAGAGGTTCGTATGGTGCTCTTCGTAATTGAGCTGCTGAATGAAATGAATTGCAGTAGTTTATCCGTGCTGGGTGTAAGAATAAATTGTAACGAACTGTGAAAGAGAAATAGTTGTTTGGCTCTAAGATCATGATCTTTACAGCCGAGGCATGTGTGTGTGCCATTTTTAGAGTAATGAGCAGCGAAGAGGTTTTATAGAAAGTGAATGAACCTGATAACGGAGTACAGATGTTCCCCTGAGTGTTTTCATCACAGGAACTTGTAGTAACGAACTGTATAGTAATATTACTTACAGTTTAAAGCCACTTTTGAAACTGTCATCCCTAAATGAAAAGCAGGTAAGGGTATGCCCTCTAATTGAGAGCAGATCAGATGTTTTCCAAATTTTGAAGAATCGGCAGGCTATGTACCGGTGGATGTCAGTGCCGAATGTACTATCAGCATTCGCACAGTTTGTCTGGTAAAAGTCTGCGAGTGCTGATTGTAAATTGAGCACAATCGTGCAGGTAGGACGATTCATAGCATTGACGAGTAAAGAGTAACTGGATTGACGAAACAAACGACCAATGTGGTTGAAGAGTTAAACACGGGTCTTCCTCTCCGAAGTTAATTTCGCTTGAAGGAATGCCACTTTGACCTAACTCGGAGTGTCGGACAATGCAGAGCCGGAGAGCTTTCCGCAGCGGAGCTTGAGAATTTGATGGTTATTGTCGGTAACCCTAGGCAGTTTAAGATTCCCGACTGGTTCCTGAACAGGAAGAAGGACCACAAGGATGGTCGTTACTCACAGGTCGTGTCCAATGCCCTCGACATGAAATTGAGGGACGATCTTGAGCGACTCAAGAAGATCAGGTAATTCATGCGCTAACTCCCCCAAACTACAGTTGTTTCGTTCCGTTCTTTTATTAAAAGGATTGATGCTCATGCCGTCTTGGTTGTGCTGCAGAAACCACCGAGGTTTGCGTCACTACTGGGGTCTCCGTGTGCGTGGACAGCACACCAAGACCACTGGACGTCGTGGAAGAACTGTCGGTGTGTCGAAGAAGCGATAGAAGTGTTGATATATACAAATTTTGCATCTTATCAAATGTAAACCCGCAATACACAGGTGTTGAAGTCCTGGTACTGCTTGAATGCATCACTCGAGAATGTGGATACCTATTGAGCCTTGGTCTAATTTTTCGCCCACGGGGATATGTTCCATTCACGCTAATTTCACAGTTGGTTACTGTTTTGAGGTGAAGGCTCGATTCCAGTTATTTGTAGATGAGATGGGTTGATGTCCACCCAAGAGTTGTAATGCTGTTGTTTGGTTCTACTTGGCTCTTTGTCTAGATCTCGTTGTCTTTCGAAGGAACCACAGTCTGGGTCAAATATACATAATTCACAAGAAGCAGGGTGCACATCCAACTATCGATAGTATGGAGTTCTTGATTGGGTAACCGATTCGAATTATTGTAGACACCTTCAGGTGTCTACATGTCGAGCTCATCATGAGCCTGGATTGTTTACAGCAAAGATGTGTCTATGTCTGCCTCAGGTCAGAAGTATTACAGCTCACGGAATGAGACTTCTTATTCTTTGCGAAAGAGAAACTGAAAGGTCGGAGCATACTATCTGAACAGATGGTGGTACGAAGCGGTTGTTATTACATGTTGCTGATTGTTATTTCGATATACCCTAAGGAAATCTACTGGATGTTGAACTCAATTATAGTTTTGAAACAGAAGTAATACATATCACGAAAAAGCAAGTTTATCATTAAATTTAAAATAACTTCAAATCTGTAATCCCCAAACATGATTGTTGTAAAGACGCCAAATCTTGTGACAATCTATAAGCAACCATCATAGAAATAATGCGCGGTACCAACGTTGCGCACTATCATCAGCCCAAAGACGAAACAGATAAATATGAAAATTCTTCGAAAGAAGTCACAACCTGAAGAGAAATGGAGAAATAATGAGACCTTGGAAGTATGCAGATAGCTAGCTTGTATGATGAAATTACAGAACCGTTGCAAGAACATTTACACATTTAAATATGCAACTCACGTGTAACCCATGGCCTACAGTAAGTGTGGGAAAGGTGAATTAACACCGAGGGTGTCAACATCTTGCCAGAATGTTATTAAATTATGAAAAAAGCTGGGGTATACTGCACAGAACAAATCGTAGCCTACACTACATTCACATCAAATATGTCCAGATCCGCTGCGAATTCCCGACGGCAAATATACAGTCGCTGCATTTCCGATTGGCATTTTCGTACACAGCCCGTACCAAAGAAAATTTATTGCTATGTTACAAGGTCTGTAGAGCAATCCTCGAGTTCAAGGGATTTTTCTCGCGTTTGGTTGGGTGCACGATGGATGGAACATCTGTGTAAGGCTGGCTTCGTCTCAATCAGAAGTAGCAGACAAACTGGGGCTAATGCCAGCCTGCCTGCCTGCCTCCAGTCGGCGAGAGAAACAAAGACAATACGATTTTGTCTTGGACATGCCAGCGAATCAGGTTGGGCTTATTTCACGAAATTGACTGCCCGGAATCGATATCTGTACTGCGGCTCTTCCTCTTCCGCCTCTGAATCATCGCTGCTGAGGTCGTTGGCGAAGCTTTCCCAGCGAGAGTAGTTGACTTGCGAGTGGCCCAAAGGTTTGGGGATGGCATCCCAGCCTTTGGGTTGAGGAGTGTCTTCCTCGGCCGTGGGAAAAGAATTCATCAAAGCCTCTGCGTCTCTGTCGGCCGAGCTGTTCGGTGAGTCCGGTTGAGGTCCATCCTGGTCCTCCTCCTCTTCCTCCTCCTCTTCTGTGATCGCCGGTAGTGTCTGCAAAACATGCAACATCTCTCCCAGGTCACCATCACTCTCTCACCATATCCTCAAACAAATTGCACTCCTCCTGTACATCCATCACATCCTCCCAACACTCTCTAAACAATAGCCACAAACAATCGGCTGGTTCCAATTTTGGCAAGCCAAAGCTTCACTTCCCTTGGCAAAAGTCAATTTACTCTAAACTTCTGGGAAAAACATAACCAAGATTTGAGATTTTTGTTTCTACTCATCTACGTCGACTCCCGTCCCCAACCCACCGAAGATGACCCAAGACGAGGAAGAAATCTAAGACCCTGGAAGATCTACACAGGAGGATGAAAATTCCTGATTCTCCCTAACATGTACATGGTGTCTCTCCAATAGAAACCCAGGAGTGAGAGAATCCTGAAAGTGAATTGTACCAAAAGCAGGTCGGCTTGAATCCTGCTCTTGTGATGGAGACACAGGAGCACATACAGAAGGAAAAGGGAGAGAAAGTAGCGCTCGAGCAGATGGAACTGAGAGAAGAGTGAACGTACCAATTGGGTTTTGAGGCGAGCTTGCAGTCCCCGATAAACTTGAGAAGACGGATCCAGCTCGATGAGGCGGTTCACATCAAATAGAGCTGAGTGATAATCTTTCAGGGCTACCAGCGTCTGGGCCCGCAACATGAGTGCACCGGCATGCTTGGGGTCCAGCTCCAGCACTGCACTGCACTCATCTGCAGCCTGTGAAGGTCCAGACGGAAAGAAACATCAAGGAGTGAGCTGTTTACAAGTACATAAAATCTTTCAAATGCAGCACGTGTTCGCCCAAACTTCAAATAAGGTCCAAACAGAGGCTGAAGTTGCTGTCCCATGTAAGAAAGAGATAACTATCTACCCGCCCTGACCTAAAGCTAATGGGCAGATAGTATTCAAAGCATAAACTTTCACCGACTTCCGCAACAAGGATAATTCTGGTCATTGTACCATTCCCGTGCTCTCAGATTCCGATAATACATCCATTAGAAAATTGGCACACCAATCAATTCCAATTCCGACCCTAAGGGAAATTTTTAACATCATGATCTGTACCAAGACCGATGAAATTACAACCGATCATCGTCGGATCATCGTTGACAGAGCAATCGCAAAGGCAGGGTCAGAGACACATCGAGTGGGGAGCGGTTGCGGGAGCCCTGCAGATGTTGAGGAATGGGAACGAGGAAGGTAATTTGAGACACTCCGACTATAATGACCGGAAAAATTGCAAATATACCTCTTTGTAGCTTTGGAGCTTCAAGTGACAGGCTGCCCGATTGCTGTGTAGGGCTATGCGATGGGGAGCGCGCTTGGCGACAGCCAAAGCACTGGAGTAGAGCTTCAAGGCCTCGGTGAACTCGCCATCTCTGTATTTCTGGTGAGCTCTTTCGGTCCTCGACAAAGCGGCACTCATCGTGTCCTCGCTTCCCAAATACGGTCTTCAAAAACTCGCCGTCAGCTGCTGCTGCTGCTCCTCCTCCTCTGCTCCACTTTCTCCGCTACATCGATGGCTTTCCACCACCATTCAGCGTCGAAATCCCCACACCAAATTCCACAATCGCATGTGCTCGACCACTCGCCCACCGGGGCAACACAATTGCAATCCGATACGCCGAGAGAGGAATTCGAGTCGATCAAATTTTGCGCTGGCACTCGGTCGGTGATCGAGGCGATCGAGCACGAATGGAGCTCGCGGCTTCCACCTCGTGCGGAGCAACAGGAACACAAAGACGTTCGTTCAAAAGGCACCACGCGCTCCGAATTCACAACCTCGGCCGGGCCTCACTCAGAGCGTTCCTTCGCCCCCCGGGATTCACTGTGCGTGTAAAATTCAGGGACCAGCAGCAAAAGATCTCCCAACGCTTCGTTCCCCTTCCCCTTCCCTTCCCCTTCCCTTCCCTTCCCGTGCTCACCGTCCAGCACTGACTGCGACTGCGCTTACTTTCGGTTCCTTCTTTTCTGTGCTCTCGGTCCATCCGTTGGTCGGTCGGTCTGTCCATCCACCCATCCATCCATCTATCTATTCTGTGCTCTCGGTCTTGAGTCTCGATCCGTCAATGTTTCCATCCATCCGTTCTTCCAGAGCATGTATCGTGGTTGGGCTCCCTCTGTTTTGTTTCCTCGTTCCGTTGTCTCGGTCCATCGGTCGGTCGGTCGGTCGGTCGGTCGGTCTGTCCATATATCCAGATATCCATCCATCCATTCTTCCAGGCTGGTTTCGGCTGTCCGCGATTAGGGAGGCGGTTGTACTCTCCGTTGGTGGCAGGTTCGAACCAGTGTGGGGTTTTGACCGCAGTTCGACGTCCTGAGTCTGTAGCGTAATAGAGTAAAAGAAAAGAGTACAGTAGAGAAGCGGAAGCAAGGACCTTGTGTTCTTCGCTTTGGCACGAAGTATTATTTCGGTCTTGGTTCACTTTTGTTTGAAGATCTTCGGGGCCAAGAGGGTTGTACTCCCCCATTATAAGTCTCACTCGGTAAATCCATTTTGTGCATTCTACGCATAACCAGTCCATATTTTTATGATAATCTTGTCTCAAGAAGTTACATGTCGTAACTTATACACATACAACCACGAAAATTACTCGCACACATTCAATAGTAAAACATATACTCAACTCACACATTCAATATAGTAAAACATAATAGACTGAAGAAGTTGTTGCCACGAGCCACGAAGTACCTCGACTTCAACTGCGATCGGCTCAATGTGAAATTCATGATACAGGCTTGCGTGAGTAGACAGATATTCGATGGGACATGAATATCCAAAATATCATATTTCTTATACTTATTCAAGCGGGGAATTTTTGAACTCTTATATTTCAAAAGATAAAATAAAATATTTTTTATTATGATATTTGTGATTAGGAGAATAACAACAAAAATACTGGTCTTTTTCACAGTCTCTATTGTAATTAAGAAAACTATTTCAGTTTCCTATGATTGAATATAGCACCTTTAGAAGAGAAATAGAAAATATTGATTTATGAATTATTCACTAGTTGATAAAAAATAATTGAAGTGTGAAATGTTCCAATAAATTTATAGTCGATGAGTTGAGTATGATAAGATGGTGTTTTAAAATCAATAGAATGTATGAATAAAGAAAGAAATTGTATCGTATGAAAGATGCAAAATAATGATTTTCAGCATTTGGATTAACAATATCTCCATAATGAAAACCTTTAGGAAATCGAAATCCGATTAAGTTTCAGTGCAACTATCTTAAAAACAAAAGGCGGTTGGAAGTTCGTGCGATTAATGATATTATTTACTTCAATGTAAGTTATGATCTAAAACCGTACAAGCATTATGGGATGAAATACTTAACACATCAATAAATTGCAAGATGTAACATAACATTGATAAAACATTGAGTTTAACTCTGTAAATTTATATGCTTTGAGTAGATGTATTTACTAGCGTGAGAGCTTGTTCGCATCAAATATAACATTGAGTTTTATCTTGTGAATTAATATGCTTCGAGGTGATGTATTTTCTAGCGTTAGAACTTGTTTACATTAAATGTTGGTATATATGCTCCATGATGGATTGGATAGGGGCATAGAAGAATTAACTATTATCGGGATTTTATTGTAGTGGTTGAGATTTGTTAGAATAAAAAACGTGGAATTGAGACAAAAATAATGAGTCAAAAGCTACAGCGAAGCACTTGTAGAAAGAGAGTGCAATTTTCCACTGATAGTTAGAATTCCATTTCAGTATTTTTTTCCCTACTTTCAAGATTATTTTTTCAAATGATTTCAAATATTGATGTCAAAAAATATGTAAGGGATTGGTATAGTAATTTCTATAGTAGAGGAAAGAAGATTCAACCATTTGACTTTGGGATGATACTGATTTAAAAAGTAAAAATTAGTGGCAAAAAAAGTTCAAAGTTTAAATTAAATAAATCTCATCGTACAAATAACAATAGGTACAAATTTTTTGGAATTATTATCGTAATAAAGAATTAAGAGGAAAATAAACTATAAAGTTGAGGCATCCAAATCCTCAATTTGTGATTTGTAAATGTATTGATCATTCAGTTAGATCGTTATATAAATTGAATCGATTGAATTTATTTCTATCTATATATATGATGTTTCAAAATATGATGTTTCAAGCTATTGAATTGTATTGAAAATTTGAAGTTTGATATACGGTGATTAAAGGAGTTATAAACTCGTATAATTTCTTGATCTTTTACTTTCACGCGATCTAACTAAATTCGCATAGTATTTTCATCTGAAGTTGAACATTGATATGAAAAGAATTTCTCTCTAAGATGAATTTAGAATGTTGTGTGAAAACTGTTAGAAAAGCTTTGAATATTTACTACATGTGCTTTCATTACTATACATATCATTCTCTTTCATTGCATTGTGAAAACAGTTGAATTATCACACTTGCAACGAACTACTATAACAAAATTTATCTTGGTCACACCAAACTTCAGAAAGTAGAAGATAGTGATGTAAATTTCTAGTTGTGTCATCATCATAATCGCTCGTATAGTCAACAAGTCAAGTGTGCAAGACTTAGAGGACATAGATCATAGGATTGTTCTGCAAAAACAGCCCGCAAATTTCTCAACAGCAAACACATGAGAAATTAGAAATTTCCATGACAGAACAAAATCTCAAACAAACATGCTATGCAAGCAATGTTCATCAATCTCATACAAGAAAAAAAAATAATATTCCACTTCAAGAAATTATCCATCGAAGGCATCAAGATCATATTGCTCAAATTGACATAACCTTTGAAGGACGATTAAAAAATTACTTTAAACTAGGTTTGAGAATCGTCTTGATCTCAATATTTGCTGTATATAACGTTTCCTCATCCTAGTCAATTTTGATGTTTAAGTATGTCGTTTGTTGTTCATAAACTTACATCGTTTTTAACCTTTGTGCAATTTTTAAAAACAGTTGACTCTTATTTGGAGACCACTCATTGTTATGCTTGATATAGAGGGCGTTCGTGGTCGTACTCGATACACAATCCTTGGTGAGAAGCACACAATTCTGTCCGCCTTCGCATCTCGGCGCTGACTTTGTGCACACGGAGATTGCAACAACTTTGTGAGGCCTGAAATTTTTACTGTGCTACATTTCATTGGACTCCAATGATCAAAGTTCTGTGAGGCAGCTCAAGGGGCCATGGTCTTTCAAAATCCACCCAGCACCAGTCCAGTTCGATGACATCTCCTTATTCAAGCTGGACAGGTCCAGCTCTATAACACTTCTCTGGTAAACACATTATTATGAAGAGGGAGCACTGGCCACTGTACTGCACACACAGTCTCTAATCCTCCGCCCATTACTATTCGTCGACGTAGGAGTGGAGACGGCTCCCTGGTGCCATGATTTAAGGTTAATTCGAAGAATCTTTCGAGCTGAAACACTGGTGTGACGAAAGTTTAACGACGGCGTGTGTCCTTCCTTCTTCTGACCATGCACCATCCTCATCACAGCATGAACGACATTGTCGTTGGGATGCAGTGTATTCCTCTCTTGAAGGTACTACACGACGAACTTGAGCGTATCTTTGGGTGCATTCTGGTAGCGGTTGATGGCGTAGACGGTGCAATGGTAAGAGCGATCTCTTTGCAGCAGATCCGAAAGTCTCCTTGAAAACGGGGCAGCCCGCTCGCGAATCTGGCCTGAAATCTGCTGATAAAACATTCGATAATGCACTCACAACTCAAACCTTTCTGATTGACCTCCATACTCCCACTTTAAGTGCCAATGATTATATCCGACAAAAGACATCATACTGTTGGAGAGGATATGAAATACGAGTGGACGATATATACAATAGTATTACGATAACCATGTAAATCGCAGAACCCTTCCTCCTATTAGCAGTTCCGTGAAGTCCATGCAATCAGAGTCAGCCTGGAAGGGTTGAATCCCTTACTTTCGCTAAAATGCAGGCCTTCACATTATTCTAGTGTACAGTTCAGCTTATGATGCTGTATTAAAAGACGTAAATAACAGCCTAGGCTGGACGGGCAGGAGTGAAACTGAAAGCCCAAAACGGGCTGTCTTTTCTACTTCAATGTCTCTGGACAATTGACAGGTTAACTTCCACACAAAACTCTGAGTACAACTTCTCCGATCTCTTCTACTGACGCCTCCAGTATCCTAGAGCACTTAAGAAGTAAGAAGACTAAACCCACTCTTTGGCACCTGCAATAGAACCTTGCAGACAATAATGGGATACCCAAGTATTGGATACAAGAGCGGGAACACTTTAGACCATGTGAAATAAGAAACGAATTTTCACGATCCCCAAATCACCTAAAATGATGAGTCAGACCCGCTTGAATGCATGTTCTGATCGGATTCCGCATTGGCACATGGTTTAGTTGGATCAAGCTGAAGTGGACGGCTAATACAGCCAAACAAGGGCCTAGAAAATGCGTGACAAGTGGATATCGAGCTTAATGCGTATTCCCACCAATAAAAGTTAACATGAAGAAAGCCCATTTGAACTCGAAATGTAACAGCATCTTCTTGGAAAGAAGACGCGACACTTTATGCACAGCAATTTCACTTAACTTGATTGGGGGATCTTTCACATTTACAATCACGTTACAGTAGTGACAGCATAAAAACCAAAAGATGAGTACCCTCCAACTGGTACCATACCTATCCTACAGATCTATCAAACAGTACCTTGCTGCTTGATGTATTCAGGTTGGAAGCGTCCCCCAAGCCAACCTTACTTTGGTAAAAGAGCAAAGTCCTTCATTCGGAGTTAAAATTTGGACAAAGTTAGAACAACCCTATGGTAGCAGATATTAAATACACAAATATGAGACATGTTGAGGGATGCTAATGTCCTAATTTGATTGGCTATAAGAGCAGCAGTAGATTGCACCATGCTCTCAATGAATATGTAGAAGGGGAAACTCACATCAAGGAGGTATACGGAACATAGCCAAACCTTGAAGAGAACGCACTGTTGGTTAACTTACTGCAGAGCGGATTTTACCATAAGAAGTTGGTCTTTTCCTCGATGGTAGGAACGGCAATTGATGGGGCAGCCAGGTTATTCACACCTTAAGGCGAAGGACGGATTCCAGGCATTCTGCTATTGTTGGTTATTGATCGACTCTTCCGAAATATTTTCTAGAGGATTGTAAGGCAAGGGAGATACTCGTACAAGGGCAGATCGGTTTGAGGGAGCTGGAAGAGCATAGGTGACACTTGAAGAAGATCCCTCGATTAAGCCTGCTACTCCCGCAGCGGCAGATTGAGCATTCGAAGGCAGAAAGAGATCATGCTTTTGATCTTTGTACGCCGTCCAGACCTGGAAGGTACCGGAGTTGGTGAGTTCACAGTATTCCAGCATTAAATATACTTTTTTTTTTAATCCAGCATTACCGAGTGATCCATCTTCGAATGTACAAAAGGGACCGAAATATTAGGGTCAATTTCGAGAATGTATCTGCTTGTGCGCATGAATCAAACGTTGATGAAGTGAATCATTTTTACATACCTCAGAAGAAGTGAGTATTTCTTGTACTTTAGCCGAGTGCGCACCTTCGCCAGCAAAAGCGCGCAAGACCTGATGCGCAACGCAGTGAGAACGAGCTAACAAGAACAAGTATTGACAACAAGTGATGGTCTGCTGGGATGGATGAACAAATTCAAAAGTTTAAGTTACACGTAGACCAAAATAGAACCCGACAAAGTGCCGGTCAAGAATCACCTCTACTGCAAGCACCCTGCCGACGGACGCTTCGGACTCGTTCCATTTCATTTGTGCACAGAGTCCATTTCTACCTCCAGCTCGCCAATCCAGCAAACCCAGTAGAACATCTACCAAACCCACTCTGCATCGCATACCACGCATTTAGAAGAAACTAACACCAGGAGTCACAAGAAGGTACACCTTCCAAGGTCCAGGAAGAAGATAATACAATCAACTGCAATTTTGGTCTGTACGTTTGCCAATTATATTAGAAATAATTCTTCAGGACGGTGATGATTGAACTTACTTCAAGCCTTGGGCTACAAGTGCATCTCGAGCACGATTTCCAGCAACCACGACACGCTTTAGGGTTTCAAGGGCCAGCACACTTCCACCTTGCCAACCGATGGCTTTCATAAGCAAAGGAACGACCTGTTAAACAATTACACGTGACGTGTGAGAACAGAGGAATCAATTGACGTGAAAAGTAAAATAATATCCGCTAAGAGCGATCAAAGAAGACATCATCAACATTTACCTGTGGGGCTCCCATGCCTGGTGTCGCCATGGCTTCTGCACACGTTGTGCTAGCTGCTAGTTGATGCAAAACGCGTAAACAGCTCAGCCTTACGCGCTCTTGCAAAGTCTGAATGCCAGGGGTCTCTTCTCCCTCGTCAGAATCAAAAGGAACATCCATTCCAGTAGGTACACCTCCAGAAGCCATAACTTCTCTCCGACCTTCGTTCGCCATAGCTGCTACAAGCTTCGGAACATATCCTAGATGTCCAACATGGTCAGCTAGCATCGGCTGCACACGTAGCAATGACACTAGAGCTGCAGATAAGAGAAGAGGAAGTTCTGGGTCCACAGGTTGAGCTCCTCTTCCGTGAGTTGCAGCAGCTGCCGCTACGTACTGATCCAATAAGCCCTCCAGAAATCGTTTGGGATTTCGCAAAGGAAACTTGGGATCTTTGAGGAACAACCGCACATAAACCCCACCAACCTGCAACATCAAAAAGCAAATACATAAATTGAAGATTGGAGCTGCCAAACGTGGTGCAAATAGCCTAATACGGTGTTCATAAGGACATCCTACTTTCAAAAAATCGAAGACTTGGATACTCCAAGGATTCATGACATGTTTCACATCGTGTAGCAGGTTACAAATAACTGGCAGAGAGATTGTGTTCCACCTGCGGTTCATCTCGCATATCCTGCTGTCCAGATGCATGTTCGGGGAGATCCCACTCAACCACACGTCCTTTAGTCTGCTCTCTGTACAAATCTGCCGCCATAGTACTAAGCTGTGCAGCTAAGGAAGCAGCCATTGCAGGACTCCAGACCAGCTCTGGAGTTTCCGAACTTTGCTCAAGGGCTGCAATAACTGCATCACCCGGCCCATCACGGATAGTAGATACTAATCCGTCAGGGAGAAACCGAGCAAGGGTTATTGCTACCCTCGGGCCATGCATGGGCTGCCCTACAAGTTTTACAAGTAATGAAGCAGCTGCTACACGCTGTTGATGAGCAACCTCTTCTGAAAGCGGAACCGAAACAGCAACCAGTTAGTGTACAGGGTCTTCATTTGAGTCGACAGAAGATAACTTCTGTATGCGCAAATGCTGAAAGACGACGACCGTAAGGTGTAAACCACCAAGAGCACTTTCCTTATCCTCTACAATCGGTGATACTGTAAACACGTTAATTCTTTCTAGTAGGCAGATCTGCAATGCACTCAGATTACACTCAGAAACGGACTCCTTTGTGATCACATTGAGATGAAACATATAAGCATGAATCGTCACCACCTGCGTTCTCGAGATCAGTTTCCCAAACCTAATTTCAAAAGGTTTGCAGGAGGTTCGGGCCTATTTCATACCTTGCAGAGGTAGCATAAGCTGGAGAATGTAGACAGCACCTCCGTGCTTGGCAGCGGCCCAGCCCAGCTCTGATGTGCTTCCTAGAGCATACAGGACTCGCAGCGCCCCTGGTCTACATGCTGGGGAGCAGTGCAGTAGTTGCAATAAGAGAAGTAAACATGACCGATCAGCTACCATGGCTTCAATACAGGATGCGTGTGTAGTGAGTCGAGCAAGGACATTCAAACACAACTGAGGTACTTCCTCGCTGCAAGGACGAGTATCCACCAGACATCCAAAGAGCGGTGACATTTCGAGCTTGGTGGAAAAGACGGCTGTTAGGTCTGCATTGGCTGTGAGAATATTCTGCACCATTACAACGCAAACGTAGTACACTGATTAAAACACTGATCCATCCGCACAATCTTCGATACGCTGGTTCAAGTGTCACACTAGGTACACAAAACATTCACCAGCCCCAATAAAGATATTTAAAAATATATTTCCTTTCTCTATTCAGAAGGTATTCGGATTCTTCTGCCCATTCAAATACAAAGTTCTCAATAAAGAACTTCCAAGTTTAAAACATCGGAAACCCTTCAGTTTACCTGTAAAGACGTCAACGCCATAGCAAGATTTTTAACCAAAACCTCTGATTCTGGCATTTCATCTTTATCTGAAATCTGTTCTTCATCGTCGTTGTCCTCCACGAGAGGGGGAGGTGTAGGTGCGGCGTCCTCATCGACTTGTTCTCCTTCTGTTTCCGCTTTCTCCATTTCCTGGGCCGCCAATTCCGCAGCAAAAATCTGTTTCCTTCGCTCCACTATATTGTTTATAAACTCCAGCAAAGATTCACAGAACTCACGAGCTTGACTTATCTCAAAGTCCGGTTGTTCATTGTACACTCGCAAGTAGACGTCTCCAACTTGAAGCTCGTCAGAAAGTGTCTTGTATCTGAAGTCTACCGCAGCTGTCATGTCATACGAGCCATCTTGAAGAGGCGAAATACGTTGTTGCTCAATGAATTTTAACAATTCAGCTCTTGTAGCAGAATTCCAAATTATCTGCCAACAAAAGCAATGATATCAGCAAACTGACTGTCACAACACTTGACACCAAATATAAATAAGGAAGACTCTTAATGTGACAAAATCGAATTTCCCTATCCGAATCTTCTCAGTCTCAACAATAGAGCTTTCGAATATTCAAATAATAAACAATTATAGAAAAGCAGCTGCGCTGAACAAACGACGAGATTAAAACCTCCGGTGACTCTAAGTTGGAATTCAAATTTCGCAGAAGTCCTTCACTGGGCGAGCTGTCCCCAAGCATAGTCCCAAGTTTTGGAGTCAGCAAGGCTTTCAGTGCATTAGCTGCAACTAGGTTAGAAGGGGTTGAAACATCCCGAAATCCTCCCAGTCTCGCTAGAGCACGTGTTGCTAACATGGCATGCATATTCTTTGCATTTTGCACACTGTTTCCCATCCCTTGTGGTGCACTGGCTTCGCCCTTTTCTGCTGTTGAATCATACTGCAAGAGCAGTGGTAGAAGATACCTGAAAGAAAAAGACACCCAACCAACACGTCAAAATCAAGAAAAGTTGGGGTTGAGCTTGAGACTCCAACCACAAATCCGAAGTAAAACGAGAATATATGGCAAAAACGCTGAGCTTACCACATAACACCAGCTTTAAGTAAGGCAAGCTGAAGGTCTGTAGATGCTGCGAGCTGACCAACAGTTTGTAGGGCAGCATCTACAGCCAAAGTTGCGAGTTCTAATTCACAACAGTGCACTACGTCTTCCACAAAACCGGAGCATTCGAACATGTCCTTTCTTGCGCTATCGAATGTGCTCAAAGTAGCAAAAGTTCTCATGACATTGGTGACGATGACTGCTGCAGGGTCTGTCGGTGAGGTGTTCCTATTTACAACACACATACAGCGGGACAAAAGGGTGGCCAGCAAAGATACTCCTCCGTCTCTTACAAGCTCTTCTCCATTCAGAACCGAAGAAACACACCTATCAATCAGACAAAGCCCGAATCATTATCAAGTAGCTCAGTGAATCCTCAAATGAGTAAGTTAAGTATTTAAGTCAAGTAGTTAAAGGAGTTCTAGTACTCAAACGTTTCTATTGTAAGAATAAAGACCTCCAAGTTAATTGGCAGGTTCAGAAATGATGTGGCAGTCTTACGTCAACCATGCAAGCTCCGAAGCCGCTTCCAGAAGAGGTGCGCGTTCTGGTGAGAGAAAATTGCTGTCATCCTTGTCCACGGTTATAGCATTGAGCAACATCGGATACCCGGCGTATTTAAATGGCTCCAATACATCTCCATACCTACTAAACAAGATGCACTGGCCTTTCAATAAGAGCTGCAGTCGCCATGGCTGGGGTCCTTGAAGACCTTGCAATGTTGCCTACAATTCAAACAAAATATCAGTCCATTTTTTCCAACCTATTATCCTTTGATTTAAGATCACATTCATCCACTTTATATTTCCGAAAGAAATATTTTCTGGTCTCAGCTACGAACATCTAACAACAAACGAATTTTCAACCCAGCGACAAACGATTGCAGCCTTCATGACAAACTCATCCAACAGAAAAGCGCAGTGAATCTTTTAGAAGTTGCCATTCGCCACTCGCACCTTCTAAACGTGTAGCTACCCTCCTAGCAAAAGCATCAAAAACTTTGAAGAAGCAAGTTACAGCTAATACACGAGCTATCCTCTTTCGTCTTCTGGCATATTCAACGGAAGAAATACAGCTCTATCGCATAAAAAACAAAGGGCTTGAAGTAGACAACATAAATAATTGCGACTTTGAACCTCCAGTGAGTCCGTAAACTCGCCTTTGATGATAAAAAGTCTAAAGCATCAACCGGAACAACGAGTTTGTCCTTTCCGCTAGACACAACCTACTTGAAATGCACAACCAAAATACTGTGCTCTACAGTTGCTGTTCACAATAGATCACAGTAAAAATCTTCCTAAGGGCAATCCACCTTGATAACACTGTGCCAAGATTAGGCAAAACTGCTAACGATGGCCTCTTCGGTATGTGTACGAGGGCCTACCTGGAGCCTCTCGTATGCCTTCTGAACCGCAACAAACTTCTCTCTCCCTTCTGGGTTCTTGTCTGGATGATACCTCATTGCTAGTCTGCGATACTGCCGCTTGAGAACTTCTTCATCTATGCGGCCCAGTATCTTGCTACTTCCCTTGTGGTCTTCATCAGGCTCAGTTGTTATCTTGCCATTCCCATTCTCTGAGTTGCTAAGCTCGGCTTCTTCTAGAGATATCTCTAGAATCGAGCAGGCATCCTCCTCTGAAAGATCCATGGGCTTTCTTGTCAATTCCTCACGCCACATAGCAAGTAGAGACTGAAGAAATTCCACATGCTCTACAAGATCCCAATGGGGAAATCTAATCTGATCGCAGAGATTGCGAAGATAATATCGGTGACACCACATTTCATCCTGAAGTTCGGGATAAGTTACAGGAGGCATTGGAGCATATTCATAAAGAACATGACAATGCTGAGATAATTTTTGAGGGAACTCGCCAAGATGCTTTAAAACCTGTACAGACGACAAAGGTTTCTTATTAGAAATAACTTCCTCGGCAAATTCGTTTGACAGGCTCAAGTGGCAACGCCACGATTGAAGATATCATAATTGACTGAGGTTAAATTGATAACAAGGGAGAAATCCCAGGAAGAGAACCTGTTCACTCTAGAGGAGCCTTCATCCGTCTGGGTTGTCTACAAGCAAAACCGGTCAAAACGGATTCTGTATAGCCTATAGACAGAATCGACTATGCTTCCTTCGCGACCTTCTTCGTTCGATCTAACCTCTTCTTCCTCCTCTGTTACTACTAGCACTGCTCAGCCAGGGGTATATGGTCTTGCGGACTATGACAGGCTATGACAAGCAAAGATTGCTGTCTACAATCATAAACCTAGAGTACTACTGGTTTGAGTCGATAACAATCACAGTTTGGACTTGTAAAGTACTAACACTCGAAAGGCAGAATAAAAGGATGGAAAAACTGACCTGATCAATAAGACGCTCACCGCGCATCTTATGGGTCCAGATGATTTCTGGGTTATCTGAATCTTCTACCATGGATGATGCAAATGCTGCTGGCCCTTTTCGTTCTAAAACATACAAGAGGGACTCCGGCAAGAGCCCACCAAGAACACTCCGCTTTGCTAGAGGAAGAGAAGATGACACTGCGGCTTCGGCACCCCCGTGAAATGCCTGGTGAGCGTGAGTATCTGCAAATAGGCTGGCTACAGACTTAAGGTTTGATCCCCCGTAAGCCAGAGCGAAGTAAAAAGCCCCTGTATTATAAAGACGTGACATGGCTTTTGGATTCCGAGTCCCTATAGCTTTCAACAAGGACGCTGCTCCTTCGACTATTGGTGGCTCACCGGTCAATAAAGCCTGCAGTGGAGATGGTGATTATCAGCGTCAAAGGATCTAAGTTAAGTATGCAGAAGCACTCCTTCAACGCACAAAGTTGAAGCGTCCACATCGTGCCATTTGATCTTGCTGATATAAAAGTGATATTGCATGTGTGAGAAGGTCCACCTGGGCTATGTGGGGGAGACAGCGAGAACTTGAAAGTATACGCTTCACTCGTGGAGTTGGAGTAATAAGTTCCCCAGCATCATCGAGGTCAGAATGCACAGACACCATGCTATGCAGGATTGAAAGCGCAATTTCTCCCACCTGGTAAGAGTAGTCACATTAGAAGTTAGCTCTACTAGAATGGCAGAAGTGAAAGTTCCTTCGTACAAAAAAGCATCGTCTTTGATCAGACATCTTTGAAAACCAGCCAACATTTTCAGTCCTGGAAACCTTCAGGAAAAGAACAATCGGCCCTTAAGCTTGTGTATTCCTTCTGACCTGAACCGGAGTAAGCACCGCAACTTTGCTTGCTAGTGCCCATCTTAACTCCCGTATGTCCCGCAATCGCTTCCACTCTGTCATACCTGAAGCCCAGCATTTGGTATTCCAATCGACCTCTTGCTTCGACCATGCTCGTCGAATAGCATCCTTCTCAAAGGGCCCAACTTGTACCCCATCTTTATCTACATAGTGCCACTCTTTTTGTGGTTCGATAAACGCAGTTGCAGCAATCAGGTTTGATTGTAACGGAATAGCAGTTCTCTCAGAGGCTTCATGAGCAGTAGTGAGTAGATCCACAGCCAAGGAACAACCTCCCACAGCCACAGAAGCCTCTGCGTTAGCTGGCACCTTCATAAGCACCTGTTTGGTGCGGCAGCAGTTAGGAACTTAGGTGCCGCTCACTAGTATCTCTAAGTTCCTCATGATCCGGAAATAAAAGCATAGCCTCGTACATGAATTAGCACAAGACAAAAACAAAAAACTTCTACATATACTGACGAAGTAAGGAGCAATCAAGATGACAACATGCGCAGATCAAATACGGTTTCTAAGCAGAGTACAATAGGTAACATACTGCATAACATAAGCCAAATATCGCTCATGAGCTCGGAAGATACCTTCAACAGCAAGAGTAATCTGTGCCGTAATGCTCGATCACTAGTCCGATCAAGAAGCACCGTGATGTGCGGCGTACCATCAAATGCACCTATTACTTGATAATGCTGCTCATAAACGATTGCCATCGCCCTTGCACAAAGCTCTCTTACAGGTGCACCTCCACCTCCTCCAAATCCATCCAAGCCGCCCATATCACACCAGTCTCCGGAAGTTCCCAGATCATCCATATTCACTCCTTCAACTGTGAGTCCTACGTCGGCATCGCACAGGAACCGATGATACAAAGCCCTGAAAAATGCCACAGGATCTCTAAGCGGAAAATCGTGGGCTGATCTGCCTGTTCCTCCACCTGCTTCGAGCAGAAGTCGAAGATAATATTGTCCAACACAAACCTCCTTGGACAAACTAGGATATCTGACCGCAAACTCGGCATAGTTCCAAGACAGCTGACTGGAAACCTCCTCTACACTCCCCTGGTCGGCTAGTGTTAGACTCAAAACACTTCCGTCTCCTGTCCTTTCTTTCTCTAAGTCTAGATGATGTACTTCTGCCTTGAGCGCTTCCCTAAGCTCCTGCCTTGTTCGCTCATTCCATATCAAATCTGCCCTGCTATGATCAAGACTGAATTCTTTCCAAAACTCTGGCCAATTGCAAAGATAACGACCAGAACCAACCGCCAAGGCGTCGTTGGAGACCTGAGCAGGTGCCGGACCTGTAACTTGAATTGCAGTATTCAGAGCTCCCTCCGATGGAGTATCGAAAAAACTAACTGTTGGTTGACCGGACGATGGAGATGTTGAGGGAAGTTGGGGATCGGAAACGGGTGCTCCGCTCTGGCTTATGTTTATTCCCCCAGTGTCAGGATTTCTGAGAACTGGTTCGGCAGGGGTGGATGCTGAGGCGCCATTGTTAGTCGGGTTAGTTCCTTGACTTCCACTTACTTGTAAAATACCTTGGTTTGGGGTTGGAGTATGGAGAGGTTGAGCAGGGACCATTTTGCTTCTTGGAATCCTTCCCCTGCGTCGTTGCAATATTCGCCTTTGCTTTCTTTGTGCAGAAAAGCCATCTGAAGAATTATTGCCACCGTGAACGTCCGAGTCTTCATCATCCCCTAACGGCCTTGTGTGTAGGTAAGCCACTAAACCGGGTGGCAAAACACGAGAAAGAAGATCTAGAGCTGGTTGATGTCCATCTGCCCAAAGAGCAACAAGCTGCCTACTAACTTCGCGTCGCTCTCCGGATGGAAGGAAGAACGCATGAACTAGATGACGCAGCAAAGCCCCATCCCTTAATGCAGCATCCCTCATTGATTCAGCAGCAATTCCATCCTCCTCGGCTATCGTTCGCATTACCACAGCGACTGTCTCCCTCACTCCTTCGGCAGGATGTGCAAATAGAGCAAATAATCTCCGTCGTAAACCAGCGACTTGCCGCAGCAGTTCGACAAAAGTAGAATCATCTGTTGACTCACTTTGAGGCTCACAAAGCAAAGCCTCTAGTACTTCGACAACAGCCATGGAAAGCAATGGAGATACAGAAACAGGCTTCAACCTATTAACCAGGATAGTTATATGGAAGACTGAACCGAATAAGTTGTTTTTGGCATGGATAAGATTCGCTTGTCTTTCCCCTCTGGAATTGAGTGGATCACCCAACCCTCCGCCAATTAGCATAGCGACAAGTCCTGCTGCCTCTGCTGATACACCCTCTGAACCATTTCTTAATAGCCCAAAAATACGTCCAACTGCTGCAGGCATAGAAACAACAAACGACCCCGCACTTGTTGATCCAATCAGTCGTCTAAGACATGCAGCCAAACCTATCAAAGTGGCAGCAGCTTTAGGAGAAGGAGGTGGAGGAGGGTTGGCATCGGCAGGAGGAGGTGGCGGTGCAGGGAGCATAGACACTAACGCCATGAGCGTAACATCAGGAACGTCCATACTGTGCACAAGACCACTGTAAGGAACGCATGCATTGAACTCTCGCACTCGTCTCCACAATTTGGCTTTGGATCCGGGTACTAGTCCATTTTCAGCTACAGCTTCTTTTGCAGCAGCTGACAGGTGCTTGACATGTAAGGCTTCCCCCTCCACATCTGCAAAAAGCCTGTGTGGCCCATGATGGTGAGTGCTTGGGGGAGCAGGGATAACTCGTCCATGAGGAGGATCAAGATAGTGGCCCGACATGGTGAGCCGGGGTAAAACTGGAAGCGGACGATGACCCTGCGAATGTCACACCACCACTGCATATGAATACCAGAACTAACGTTAAAGTTGCACAACAAACCTGCCAAATTGGATATCTCCAAGGCTTACATACTTAGAATGCTCTTCTGCGACGAAATTGATCCAATCCAGAAAGCTCTCCAAAAGCTTTTTACCAGGATCATATCGGTAGTGGCAATCAAATTTTCAGGCAAAATTGGTCTAACTATGAAAGCATAGACAACTGGACGTATGCTGATATTGAAGCGAAAGATGCAAAATTCCTGATTGAGCACAAGCAGCCAAAGTTCTGGCACAGACTGAACTCATACTTCTGATTGAACAATGTCCTTCACTGCCGCTAGTAGACTGTCTCTTGATGTGCTGGTGTATACCTGCACATGTCCAGATGCACCAACACAAGCTTCGTGACGTCATCATTAAGCTTACTGTTGCAGGAAAAACAAGTAAAGAATGCCGAGGACATCGCATGCAGCTATTAGGTACGCCGCACAGACTTCACAAAATCCGCTCTTATCCTCCCCTCCTGTCACAAGCACGACTTGTCGAGTAATCAGGAATACCAGATTGCGTAATCTCGTAAAGCAACTCACTGTGCCGGCCATATACAGACGAATATATTTTTGGCAACTCACGTGTATCGGGCAGCCATCGTTGAACTCAAGAGCAAACATCTGAGGCTCCTCTCCAAAGCGCACAACAGCTGCTACTGCAGATAAAGGGCGGACGATGACAGCCTGAAAAGACAGATATCAACAACGTCCTCAAACATTAACAATTCTGTAGTCTTTTAAAAGCTACATGTACACATCTACACTAACAGTGATTTGCATATTGCAGAATATTGAGACCAGAAGATAAGAAGTTATATTTCCTGTGACCATGAGTATGTCAGAGAACAGCATGATATTGAAAGTACAACAGGAATGTCCTGGGATACGTAACCGTCTTGAACGTTCTGTAACTGTTCAAACGCTGTCTTTTACAGCCTTCGGCATTTCTGACTATTTCATATCTGAAGGATTCTCAGGAGACGTCGTTGTTCAAAAGAAAAGCCAAAAAAGTACGCAACAACGCTGTACATAAGGTCCCCTTGAGTGTTAAGTTAATGTGGTTGATCGCGTGAAATTTTGACTGTGAATAAGGTCAAACACTAACCTCGTAATTGTCAGGTCTCCGCTCTACTAACGAACTTTTTGTTAAAACTAGTTGTCTTGGAGCAACGTCTCCTTTTGGTCCAAGACCACCTTTTGGTCCAATTTCGAAATAAGATATACTTGCGGTGCCATGACCAGAAGACCGAAGCCTATTTACGGACCATTCTCCCACCGGAGTTTCTTCAGCACCAACTGCGGCCTTTGCTGTTTGCATATACAAGATTCAGAAAGATTTCAATCGGCCTTTAGCTTCCAAATCAGTGCATCCGAACCATGTCTAATTAGACATCATCAATTCAGAATATACTGAACTCATAAAATTCCCTGTCAGACCCTGAAGATCAGTGACTTAAAGCTCTGGCCGAGCTCAAAACTCAGAAAAGAGCAAGGGAGTTGGTTGACAATCCCCGGAACAACCACATTGCACCTGGATGATCCTGATAACCTGGTTTGCTCTAGGTACCTCTTTGTTTAAGAAATTCTTGGGCGCCAATAGCTTGCGACGTATCCACATTTATAGTTGTTCCAACATATGTCCTCGCCATACCTGTCTGCATCACCAGTGAGATTGGACACGCACTGGATTTAATTACTGAAAGTGCAGGGACAATGAGAGCCACTAGACTTCAGCACGATCAACTGTGCGTGATTTATATCATAAATTGAGAGCAGAAGAATTTCTTTTCCTTCTTGAGATGACATATACCAGCTTGGAAAGAATTGCAGAATTCGATGCACCCGTGCCAGCCATAAACGCCTTGCACTTTCGACCATACAAAGGGCACAACACAAAACCACCGCCTTCTACTCCTTTCCGTCCATATACATCTCGGAGCATTATGATACCCGGGGAGTCCATGTCTCTAAAGTCGAGAGACCAGTGGAGTTCGCCACTTTTAGGTTGTCGAACCTCAACTCCAACTGCTGTTATTCTAAGGTTCTGGAATAAAAAATACAAGAACAATCAGATGGTCTCAGGAGTACCTTCACATAGACAATACATTTGCTCAATAGCTGAACCATGTTTGCGCCATAATGACGACTAGTTTTCACATAAAATTTGAATTTGGCATTATATCCTTTTCTAACCCAAGGGGCGTCCTCAGACTGAAAGCATATCCGCAGCTATTTGTTCCTCTACAACACTGAGACATAACTTGACCCACAAACAACACAATACAAAATAAAATAGTACCACAAAGACAAAGTCTTATTTCCGTGTATTCTTATCTTTTATTTTCCTCCTGATTCTTTAGGTCAAAACAAATAACGGCTCGAAATTGAACTCTGTCTGGCAAGATATCCACGACACACGAGAATCGGGGGCATACAAACATACAAAGGGAGGCCAGTCAGCAGAACGTCGTTTAAGATGGAGCACAGGAAAATCTGCCACTGGAGAAGGTGTTGAAGTTGGGCCTGTACTCCGGCCAAACCTCAGTCTGTGCAACTCCGTCAATATTGAGGCCCGACATCTGTCCTTCAGTTCCATTCACACAAAACCTGTCATTTATATTGTGGATGGAGCACAGTAGAATCAACTCTTAGAGCAAAACGAAAGCACTAACTCTACTCGGAATTCACGTCTCCGAGCTAATAAACATTGAAATGATATATCGTCGACTTAGAGTGGATGCAACATTTTCCGCGAGACATGCAAAAAAATGTCTAACAGAACCCATGAATCAAAAGGTACGTGAATTGGTCGTAAATACAACTCCCACTGCTAAGTCCTTGGTATAAAACAGAAGGTTTAGATCTCTAAAACTCTCAAGATATGATTGAAATATTTTGCAAATCAACCTCTTCACCCGGACACTGAGATTTGTCAACAGGCTAAAAAACAAATGATTATGCTAATGCTTAGCTCATTCCAGAGCTAAGCAACTCTCAAGAATGTGCTTAAAGCATGGAACTATATAATTTTGTTCTGGAAAAAAGGGAGAAGACATAGACAACAAGTATCTTGACCACAAATTACAAGTTAGCCAGAAATTTATGAATATCACTCATTACTCTTAGATGTGAGAACTACTGGAAGTCAACCATCAGTTAGATGAGAACCAGCTATACACCTCTTGAGGAGAGATAGTGTGGGCTTTAATCTGGCTACTCCAGAGGGGTTGATCGAAGAGTGGAAGTGAAAGAATAATTCAGAAGTGAAAAATCTTAAATCTGCATGTCTCTCCTATAATGCGAGATTGCAAAGCTTGAAGAGAAGATAGAACACCCGCGAGCATCCAAGCATCGATGTGGAAGTAGTACGGTATCAACTCTTAGTCTAAAGATTACACAGCGCTAATATATCGTTGCTCCTGAGTGGGCCATCCATCGAACGATCATCGGGTAACCTATGGACATGTATGAGACCCACTGAGGGGCTTCCATGTTGAGTACGGTCACAGCAGTTCTTTGTTGACTATAGTTAACGTAGCCTGGCCTCACGTGAACTGAATGCTGGTTCAAGTGTTGAGAAACCTCATAGACACGAAAGGCATCCTTCACGTCACAAACCTCGACTATGGAAGCCCGAAACCCTGTGTCTAATCTGTTACAGTGTAATTTTCCATCGAAATTGCAGAATATCCTGGCTTGGGTAGCATTACTCATGATCAACCTTTTGACGACATTGATCCCTTCAGCTTCACCTTCACCTCGGGCTGACAACATTGCAGGCGAAGCACCATCGTAGCGCATATATCATGCACCTTTGTTTCAAAAGGTATTAAGTGGGCATATGAAACTCAACCCTTTCAGCTCAGACTGTAAGAGGGGTGAATTATTTATAGGAGTATCTAGCTGGTGGGCAGATTATGAACCAGGAATAGATCAATAGCCAGATTCCCCGAGAGAATGAGACAATGCCAGCTAGAACTAACCAGGAAAACGACTATTTGACCTGATGACGACACCGGACAAGATTTGTGAGAGTCAATCACAGCTCCATCCCTCGAACAGGCCAAAAAAAATAATTAAAAAGGATGATTTGCAAGAAAAGAGCGAAACAATGCATGGAGACCTAAAGGTAGCAAGCACAGAACCTGGATGAAAATCTGATTTGCTTGAATTTCCCACGCCCTTCAGTTCGAACGCTTAAATAAAACTCCAGGGCCAGCTGCTGGAGAGGATCATCACGATTGCCAAGCACTGGCGATGCTAACTCAAAATCCTTCAAAAGATCGTACGAATTCGTTACTGCCAAGGTTGCCGGGTCCAGTGTCACAATACCGGACCGTGAAATACAAAGAATCCGCTTGTACTTGCCTCTCCAGGAATGCTTCGTAACCATGTAACGGGCCAGATACTCGGGCTCCTCCGGCACTGGGGGATCCGGGGGCGGGGGTGGATCAAACGACCCGGGTCTTGTGAGGTAGTCCATTCTACTATTCGAAATTTGTAGAGGGCGCGCATCCGGACGGAACCGCCACCAGCTCGCCAATGTCTGGTCGCGGCCCGCCGACTGATTCGCACCCAGCTCTCCCCCTGTTCCTGCCAAATTACCCCTCCCCCCTCCCCGGTGCGCCCTCTACGAGACGCCCTGGGACCTGCTCCGAGCGAGCGAGCGCTCTCGCGTCTTGCTTGCCTTCCGTCCGCGACCTCGGCCGACCGCCGTCTGCCAACCGATCGATCGATCGATCCAGGATCTCTGCTGGGCCAAGACTGCTCCAATTGCTGCCACTCTAGAGCAGCGACTCTGCCTTTTCAATTCCCTCCTCGGTCCCCGCCCAGATCCGAGCTTCTCCGCTTCCTTGACACACCACCTCAACAACACACCCGCGCACGCACGCACGCTGCATCCAATCCAATCCAATCCAATCGCCCGCGAGAAATGAATCGAATCAGGCCCTCCTCGGGAGCTCTCCGCGCAACTCCTCCCCCTAATTCATCAATTGGCCGAGCCACCGGAGCTCTGGAGCTCGAGCATGAGCCTGCCCTGCCCTGCCCTGCCTCGCCTCGCCTCGAAGGTCTGTACCGTCCGGGGACAGAGGGTGGAGAAACGAGAGCGCCGAGAAAAGCCGAAGATGTGGAACTGGAGCGGAACTCGAAGGAGCCACAGAGAACAAAAGCAACGCCGTCAATCCGAGCATGGACATGCAAATTCTTCACATACAAACAGGCATCATTGTCGTCGTGGTCGTCGTCGTCATCATCAGTCTCGGTCACTTGCCATCCCCTTGCCAGTGCCCCTTATTTTCCACGTGGTGCCGCGTTACTTCCGTCGTGTGCGTATGGCACGAACACCTATCCCTCGTCGCCTTCTTCCTCCTCTTGCGACTGCTTTGTGTGTCTCGTGGGACAGTGTGTCATCCCTTGCTTACATTCCTTCTTCGTTCCGTTCCGTTCCGTTCCTTTGCCTTTGCGTTGCTTTGCTTTGCTTTTCCTTCGACAATCCACAGCCCTGTCTGTTCCCGAGCCCTGTCCTCGTCCTCGGAGCTCCTGCGACGACGACCCCTTTTTAAGTCCAGTCCCAGCTCCGGCTCCAGCTCTTTCCAGTCTCTTGTAGCCAATGCGTGCGCTCCCGCGCCTCTGGCGACAGTTGTCTTTTTGCCAATCAGCGTCTCCAATTTTGGCACCCTTTGTCTCGGAATATCTGCTGGTCGGAAAATTAAATCTCACCACTCCGTTTGATTTATTCGACCTGTATTTTGATAGGCAGTGCATATATGTCGATGTTAGGAAGTGCATATTCGCTATTTCTGCTGGCAGATTGGACGAAGCGTAAAATCCCTACTCGAGCTCCAATCTCTAAAGACTTACGACACAGTAATAATTTCTTTCGGTGTCTTCGGGAGTCCATTTCATCATTTCTTTAAGAGAGAACTTCATTCTTGAATGTTTATTATTCTTCCCTGAACAGTTTTCTCGCCTCTTCGATGGTTTCGCCAAACGTCCACTTAAAAATATATGATTTCCTCAATATACGTTTCATTCAAGATGATCGGCTGAAGTACTTTTCATAGTGTATGGAGTACTCGTTTTAATGTGCATAAACTATTTTCAAGTGCACCTACCTTCTTACTATGTATTTAATACTTTATTTAAATATAATCACTATGGTCCTTTTTGGATTTTTTATCGTACTTACTAATAGTAATTAAATGACAAGTTCAATGCCAAAAATCTTTTTTTTTCTGTAACCTTATATACTTGATACTTTAATACCTCATTACTAAAAAAAAATACGTATTAAATACAAGACTTCCACATACGCTAAACTATCGTCATTCGTCAAATTATAATGCTCTTTCAGCATTAACATTATAGACATCTTTTATAATAAAATTTTCATTCTTTTTGATTATTATAATTTTCTCTCTATGTCTACTTTTTCACCCAATGTCAATTTATCTAGATTTTAAGTCACTCATTATGTTTTTGAAATTTATGCATCACTTTATCAAGTTATCCAAACATTGTATTTAACTTTGTCATTTGGAACAGAACTTGGAAAATATAAGTTTATTCATATCTTAGAAGCATATTATACCTTAAATTTTATGTATGAAATTTGATGTAAGATTAAATTGATTTAAAAAATCATTCTAACAAATCTTGCATTAGAAATATACATCAGAAATTGGATCTCTATATATTTATGATGAAGTTGTAACAAACTTTGACGGATACAAATATTGATTTTTGTATTAAACAAGATAATATATAAGCTTTCAAGTAAGTCAAAATTTGAAATAATATATCACTGTATCCATTTACCACAACTCAAGGCTTACAAAATACACAAAGATAACTATAACAAAGCATAATACATTTAAGATGACATTTTTTATGCATGATTTAACTTTAGAAACCTTTAAACATTTATACACAAGCATATTGTAGAAAATATGTTTTGATCAATGTATTGTTTAAGAAAGACGTTTTAGCTGCATGTTGATTGTATTTAAATCTCAAAAAATGTATAAAAATATTTATTATCAATATTTCATGTTTTTATTGTTCTTAGTATTAATTCATTGACAATAAACACACAAAATTTGGGAAATATTAATTAAAATTTATTAGAATATTAGTATTTGAAACGAACAAAATTTGTACTCCTTCAAACAAACGAACATTCAAACAAAAATATCACATTTGTAACTAGACTATTTTTAAATTTGACTGTGATAATTATATATGATTGACATACTTAACTATCATATTCATTTGTAATTTCATGTAATTGGCTAGGGATGAAAATATATCGTATAACACCAAAGTAGATAAAATATTGAGGCATATATCAATAGTTCATAACAATACCAAAAATCTCAAGATATTTTTTGAAAAGAATTTTGTGAATAATTTTTTGAATGTTTTGATAACAAAAAACCGAACGCTCATCATAGTGAATATAAAAACTTTGTTAAGGTGCAGCTAATGATGACTTTTTCAAAAGAGAGTAGTATATATACAATGCATTGTGGAGCATCACAAGGATTTTTTTTTATATATTTTAACTTATAGATTGACGGATAGTGAAACTACTATGGGCAATTATTTCAAAATACAATGTTCTTTTGAAAACCTAAGTTCTATACATTGGCAAAAATTGCAAACTTGGAAGATTTCAAGATATGAAAATATTGAAAAATCATCTTGTGTTGTATTAGCAAAGAGGTATATTTGTTTGTCACGTGTCTATGTGTTGTCTATGATTTGTATCGGATTATGGTTGAATCTAGTAGAGCTAATCCTAGGTAGACCTTAGATTATGACATTCATGTCGAAGCGTAGAGTCGCGCGTAGTCAAAAAATTGTTAGTATTTTGAGTTGAGACTTTTGCGAATGAAATAACTTCGGTACGTTGGCTATGATGTACTGCTAGCTTCAACGTGTAGAGTTCAAGTTGGGTTTCACTTGATATGATGTGAATCTTTGTGTTTGAAATCAGTGGGATTTGCATGGAAATTTTGACTCAAATAATTCATGTGGTATGGAGAACAAAATTCATTGTTCATTGGTTTTAGTTAGCGATTGATTTTAAATTTTGATTTTCAAAATATTGAGATAGAAATTGTTTGTCACGAAGCAATTCGGTGATCATGTTAAGGACCATGGTGGATTTACGCGGAGTGGATTGAGATATCGGCTGCTTTCACCTATCCCATCAGTTGATGCGGAGTACTTGGATGTTGCGGACATCAAATCTTTTGTGTTGATATCGACCAGTGTCACAACCCCGTTGATTTGGAACGGGAACATAGTGTACGGGCCATGAAGTTAGGGTTGGAGGCACAACCAAAAAGGCATGCCCCCGGGCAAGGACAAGGGAGCATGTTCGTATGTACATATGTATATACATACTTATGAATCATAAATGTTACATCGGAATATACGTATATTCTTGTATTTGAGATAGTGAAGTAAATGCAGAATTAAAACTGTTCAAGGGTTTGGTTGCTTTCGTCGGGCTTACAACGTCTTTGACAAAGTTTTCGCAACGAAATCCATTGAACACAACTGCGTGAAATTTTGTTCTACAAAAATGATTGATTTTGCTTCTTAGATCATGATCATTTTGTTCTTTTATGAATGTAGAACTGCGTTCAACTACAATTCTATTTCTTCAAAGTGAGTATTATGATTCTAAGGGTTTAGTCTAGACTGAGTTTCATAAGTATGTAAAACTTTAGAAAACTAACGAGTGCAATTACAAGATGTCAAGAAGCATATTGTTTGATACTATGTTGCTTTTAACAGAGTATGACCTAAAGAAGTTGGACAGTGCTGCTGAATTGCTGCTAGACAACCTCGTGGAGAAAGATCTGTTGTAGGCAATTATTTCAAAAGCCTGTACATAATCCGAGGTGGCATTGATAAGATTCTCAGTTCTTGAATATGCAAGTGAGTGCTCATAATGCAAATTCCTTAGAAGATGTCGATAGTTGTCAAGTACGCTCAATCATTTCCGTTGACTCCGATCTAGTGTTGTTGTGTGCAGTAAAATAAATTCAATCACTTTCTCATTGACTGCTACTCCTTCCTAATCCGTCGCTGACCGTCAAATTTGCAAAATTCTGCTCTGCAAGCTAGTTAGCGGTAATTCCAAGAAGTTGTATGTCGACCATTCTCATGCAAGAAATAAATCGCGTCCATCTGAATTAATTCGTCTCATTTGAACAACTTCAAGACTTGAATCTACCTCCTCCCTTACAAAATCTCCATCCTGAAAAACGATATGTAGACCATCAGAGAAGTCATTCATCGCCTTTGTGACTGCAATATTTCACATTTTAGTTCAAGATAATATCTACAACGGTTGGTCTACTTTCGAGTCTAGGATTGAGGTTAGCTCACACCGAGGTGCAACCAGATTGCGAGATGAACATGTGCTTTCTAACATGACTAACCTTGTTCTGAGATCTGACGAGATATAAATATTATTCCGGCAGAGTAGCTCCAAAAGAACAACTCTCTACAAGAATCTCCCGAGTTGTTTTCTAGTCCACTTATGCGACCATTGTAATTTGGCCGAAGCGATCTTGTTTGCATAGTTTCAGAATCCACCCCTTTGTGTATAAAAATTGGGTATATATCGGTTTCAATACTTCAAGTCAAAATATAGACTCAGGTACGAAGTTGATCCATACACATTTTCAGTTTGGAGTACAACGTTAGTATTTGGGCCATATGTACTTGGACTACAGTGTCATCATTACCTTGTTATGTTCATATGTATGGGAAAGATGCTACTCTATCACGAGCTTGGTTCTCAAATAGAGCCCAACATAAAGAAGTGCCCTACAATGTGCACCTCCTTTTGATTGTCAACTGACTACATATAAGCATGGTCTATTCCAGGAACTTGCAAAGTATCTACAAACTGGAAATCAGTCGTGAAGTTAGCTACTTGATCTATTGATTCATACTATCAGCAAAATCAATCTTTTGGAATCTTGCACTTGTAGCAAAGAGGCCACAAAATTGTTTTAGACATCTTCAAATTGCCGTCACTGGCACTTTACTACTAAATTTTAGGGATGTTCAATGTTGTTATTTTAGAATGACTGACTTCTTGAAACGTTTTGGTCACCTTAGGCCTCTCAAGTCTAAAGACACAAAAGGAGTATGATTAATTTCAATAGTCAACCGTCATATTATGAATAAAGCGAATGTATGCATTTGATATCAGCACATTGTACTAATTTTATACTGTCTAGCGTCTTATTGTCATTTCGTCCTTCCGAGGGCTGATGCAGAGACTAATTAAGTTGTTGCGGCTCAGTTTTTTACGTAAGAAGAACGTCTTGCACATGGGTCTTCGAGTTGGGAGCAGCTGCAACTTACACTCGTCCCCAGCAGTAGTACTAATTCATCTACGTTTGTTCGTTTGTACAACATATATTTCCAATATATGTTCAACAAATTCTTCTACTCCTGTTTATTTCAGAACTAGAAGTACCATTATAGTTCTGAATTAAACTAGAACGGTACTTCTAGTTTATTTCAGATTA